TTTCATTGTCTTTTGAACAGGAAATACCAGTGGGTGAAACCAAATGCCTTTGAAACTCAGTGGCAAAACTCCCACCATGTTCACTGAGGCTAAAATTTCATACTCTCTGTGGTCAGCCTTTCCCCACAGTTATTAAATAACAAACGACTGAAATGAACAATTCACACAAGAATCCTAGTGTTTATTTATCTAACCTCCTTGGTGAGAAATAACAAGTAACATTCAGGAATAAATGCACAGTCCTGCAAATGATGTATGAGCCAGAGAAAGGGGAACAGTATCTGATATTCTATTCTCAAGAAATAATTGGTCCAGCTGTGGTCTAGCCAGCATTTTGGGGAATGAAATGAGTATTGTGTCTCTGCCATGAGCAAATCAGTCTCCTAAGGTGTGTGCTTAGGTGTGTTCTGTGTGGGAAAGAGACATCTTCTCACATCACTCTGCTCTCTGGAAAGCCATGGGAATAGCCTGTTTTCAGGTAGCAGTAACTGAATATTATGTAGCCAACAGGTTAGGCTGTTGATATTGTGGAAGGTCATTACTGACTCCATGTGTCCTCTGGCAATGACATCCTGGTTCTGGAAACACTCCTCTCTTGCATCATCTGCACAGGTCATTAGAAATGATGAGCATGACTTCTTGGTGTGTGCTGAGTCTTGAAGGGGCTATGCTCAAGCTGTGCAGTAGCTGAGGAAGAGATTTCTTGGCTTTCCTCACAGCACCTCCTGTATTCCAAGCAGCTGAACAATTCAGGGCAATGAAGAATCTGTAGTTTGGGGTGTATTTTTTAACACTGAGTAGAAGATCCAAGTGCAAGGGTTTTTAGCAGAGATGGGGGGGTGGCTGTGGGCTGTATCACAGCTCTCAGATCTCCAGAGGCCAGAGTTCAGCCTTCTGTCTGGAGAAGTGCCATGCCTGTTCCCCCTTCTTCCCTGCTACACAGGGGAAGGTGTAAGGAGAAGACAGAACTGATGACCCTTTGATTAACGTATAAAGAACAACCAGATGCTGTTTGCTGGATGTGCCATTGTTGGCAGAAACCAAGCAAAACTGGGTGAGATGAACAGCACGTGTTGTTTGTTAGGTCAGTGAAGCGTGTCGCTGTCACCTCTGTACCAAAGTTGGAGGTGCCTTTGGAGCATCACTGCAGCTGACTGACCTCATAGGCATTCTGGCTGATGGGGTTTAGTTTCATGAGCGTTTGGCTGTAAGACATAGACTCTGGTTTTGAACATTATGTGGTTGCCCTTCATTAACTGAGGTTTGGCATGTGCAAGGAGTTTTTGCCTGAGATGTGCAGAGTGCTGCTGTGTCTTCCACTTGTGTGTCTGAAGAACGTCCACGAGTGTCACCTTCTGCACAAAGTCACTGATGTCTGTGGAGTGTTCTTAGCAAACACAGCTGCAGTCTTGAACTCCACTGCCTTCCAGATCATCCTCAAGTGTAAATCTATGTGACCTGGAACGCTCTGCATGTTAGGTGTCTGTACCTGAGGCACTGCCTCCCACCTCACCGAGGGTCTGCTACCAGCCATACATAAATTGCATGAGAAAGGGGCTCATGGGGGTGTTGGGGTTGTTGTCTTCTGTAGGGCTGTTTGAGGTCTTGGTCCAGGAAACCACAAGTTTAACTTTGGGCCTCCAGAGCTTTGGGAAGAGCGTGTTGGGAGGCAGGGGCTTAGAAGAGGTGGTTTCTGCCCTCTCTGAGTAATGTGTTTGTATCTGTCTCTCTCGGGTAATTCTCTGGCATCTCTCACCTTGGTAGCTAAGCACGTTTCTCAGATGACCATGGCTTTTTTTCACCTTCTCCTCTTTTCTCCTTCCTTTTAAATCAGTCTTTAATAAAGTTGAGAATTCTTGCAGAGGGTTTTATAAACATGTGTTATTAAATTTTAAATCTGTTTTGAAAGTGCCTCTATCCTACTCCCTCCTAGTAAAGTGACCTTTTTAAATGGAGGGAAGTGGGTTTAGATGACAGTCATGATAAATGCGGTCATGTTCACTCAATAAAATAAGGCCCAGTGCATTTGAGGATAAATCAGTGAAATGTACAGCCCCACCTGTCTGTCTCCATCATTCATTTCCACTGTCACTTTCACAGTGGCTGATGGATCACAGTTGCTGTAAAATTAGACAGCCTTTAATCTCATTTCATCCTGATTAGCTTCTCCTTACCCTTTCCCTCTAACTCACTGACTGACACGCTAAAAACTCACACCGGGCTGTGTTTGAGCGTGGCGTACAAACTTCTCTTCAAATACCCTTTTCATGGGGCAGGCAGCTGTTCCACGGAGTCGAAATCGAAAAATGAGAAGAGGGGATTTTCACATTATCAAAGCAAAATGACACACAAAGGCTTGTATGAAATTCGTGAGAGCAGCAGCCTGGCCAGAGTCTGTGATGGGCCAAATTCTTCCTAGTAAGCCCTGGCGAGCCCAGTGAGGATGTTGTTCCTATTAGAGGCTGCATTTAGCATGCCATTGCCATGTAATGCTGACTGTGTCTGTGTAAGTTAGGTGCTCTGTGGGTGTCTGTTCATAAGGAATGACAATTTACAGCACGAGTTTTCTGGTACTTCCAAGGAGCGTTTTATAGCGATAAAAAAGAATCGCTCATTCCATTAGTTTTGATTTCTGTGTGTAATTCACGATTCTGAGGGACTCTGAAAGTGGTCAGGGAGAAAGACTGCAGTGCTGGTGATGTCACCATTTCAGTGGTAAAACTCCCTCACTCTTAGCTGTCCACAGTGTTGCTCCATCCTCCCTGTTTTGTCCAGCTCCCTCCAGCCCCACAGGTGGATTTGTGAGACCAAGAGCAGAGTTTTCCCCGAAGCTCTGGGAGAAACAAAGGTCACAGTAAAGGTCTGCAGTGTTTATTGCAGTCACCTTTCCTTCTGAAGCCCAAATACTACCCTCCTCTCTAAGGCAAGCTTCCCTTCAGCTTTCCTGTGAGTTAGGAATGGTAGTTTGGGTCATTCAGGCCCGATCCCCTACCAGTGGGAATGTTGCCATCAAGTTAAGTAGGAGCCAGGATTAAGCCCTTAGTTTTCAAGGTTTAATTATCATCATAAGTGTAGGAGTCTTATTGCATAGTTTATATGCATGGGAACAGCAGAAAAGCTTAAAATATAATTTCTTCCTCTACTGGCCCTGTTTGTGTCAATATGGAGGATAAATAAAGTGTTTGCAAAAAATAAGAACATGTGAAAAATATGCATGTGTGCTGCCTCCAGAGAGTTCTTCTGATAAATGCTAGATCTGTCCAGACTGACCAACAGAAGAGCCTGGTTGAGGGTACAACCACTGGCTTGGACCTAATTGTAAACCGTAGCAGATCATGGGATTAGGGAAGAATTTAAGCTCCTGCAGACTGATCTTGACAAGTCTCTTGTTGAGAGGACTCCCAAAAAGCATCTGAGGAAGAGAGCAAATTTCCTGGGGGAGACCCAAATTCATTATATAGTACAAGCATCCACAAAATGAAGAGAGGTGCTGGGGTTTTGAGAGATGAGATTTTAAAACAGGAAAATATCTGAGATTAAAGAATGACATAAATGTGATATGGGGGTTAAGAAGAAAACAAATCTTTTTCATTCTTTCATCCCACTGCAGGAATCTGCCTAGTATAGGATTACTTCCCAGTTACATCAAGTCTACTAGTAGCAGATAGCTGTAGTTAATGAACTTGACTGTACCTGGCTGCCCAATTTCAGAACTGCTTCACTTACACGACTTGTAAGAGCACAGACTATGAAAATGATATTCGACCTTTACTAGAAACTAAAAACATACCTTACTTATTCATCATTGCTTTGGCAAAAAACTTCAGTAAGAAGCTTAAATGAGCCCACTTGATCTTTAAGAAAATGTGTCCTAAATAACAAAGCTGTGCATATTTCTTCTTATTATTATTTGCATATGCTATACTGCACAACTGCATTCTGAGAAAAATAAAAGATAATAAAACAAATGAAATGAGAGATATATCACCCAAAATAATCCAAGTGTGAGATAGGCTGCCTCTTTTTTTTTTTTTTTTTTCCTTGGCATTGGCAAAAGAGCACAAAGTAAGAGCTGGCCCTGAGTCATATTGATTTCCCACTGCACTGGTTTCCTAAGTGCTCTGTTGATCCGTGTCAAGCAATAAGTTCCCTGCCTGTACATGCACATCACCTCCCCATTTGTCCTCACCTAGATTTAAGGTGCCCATATGATGAGCTGAACAAGGACATCATTTTTCCTACTGGTGTCACTGGGCCAAAACTACTCTTATGTGGTATGATAACTAGTGCTGGGTAAGTTTACATTTACCATAGAATACCACGATGGCACGTCACAATAGAGACCCCTCCAAAAAAACAGGGATATTGCAAACCTAATGCCACAGTTTTGATCTTTGTTAACAAAGGGCTTCCTGATTAGATGAATAGAAAATGTGTGATTGTGCTGCTAATGACATTGTACAGGAAATTAAGCGTATACATTTGGAAAAGGCATTAAATCAGCAGGACCTTAATTTAAAAACTTAAAACTGTATGGAAATGCAGCTTGTTCATTGCTGTGTAATAGAAAGCTACTGAACATACTGACTCCTCTTGTGGAAACATTACCAGCAGAACAAAGCTAGGCTGAGGGTTTTTTAATGTTTCCTAGCATACTAGGATTCCTAGCATCTGCTTATTTTCAGGGAAATATCAGGCAACTTCACCCCTCCTATACAAGCTGTTTTTAGAGCAGCACATACAGCATTTGGGCAGGTGGAAGGGCACCAAAAGACTAATATTCCACCTTTTTCCCTTAACTATTTGCAAGATTGAATAGTGTAAGATTGCTAATAAGTGGCTTTGTCTGTTGCTAAGTCAGCGGCCATACATGCTTGGGGTGAAGTGTTCCCCTGTTATTTCATACAGTTGTAATCTGTGTTGAGTTTTATACCTTTGGAAACACTTGATGGAATCAGTGCCCTGAGCTGACAAGAAAAATTCTTGCTTTCCTTGCAGTTATGCCATATAACAGTGCCCATCACTGTGTTGTGGAAGTGGAGAACTTCTTGTTCGTGCTGGGAGGAGAAGACCAGTGGAACCCTAATGGTATGTACAGAACATTAAAAGGCACAGGCAGCATCTGCCTTCCTGTGTCTCTGTCCATCAGACCAGCTGATGTAGTCATTAGCAAGGGATTTAGAGCACCCTCAGCCTAAGTGTTGAACCTAGTAAAGGCTACTTTTAGCTATTGATGTAATAAATATCTGGTACTTTGGCATTAGCATCTCCATCATTCATCAGCTCCCACATCCCTAGAGAAATGCCACAGGCAGCAGAACAGACTCTTTCAAGTGCATGCACCAGGCAGCAGCTGTTAAGAATTTTAACCTTCATTTCCAGTCTCCTTCCAGTCATAATATAATAATGCAATTGCAGTAGATGAATGCTTCTCCTTTGTTGTCAAACAAGATACTCGCAGCTAAAGTTGTTAATGTGTTAATTATCTAGACTCTGAGATTCTTAAACTGGTCGTTTTTTAGTCTTCTGCAAGAGCTTCTCATATAGATTATCTGCTGCTACCTTCTTTGATTTGATTACTTCATAAATTTACTGCAAAGAGAAATTAAACAATTTAACAGGCTTCTGAGCAAAGCAAAAGGAGAATACCATGCCTTGCAAAACTCACAGAATTGTCAAGACATTGTTAAAAAGCTTGCACACGAAGAAAGGGTTGTAGTTGTAGCAGTCTGTGTAACAGAGATAATTATGACTGAGAAACCATAAAACAGCTTGCAGGTACACATTTTTACTTTAAAACACCAGAGGATCCAGCTGAAATTACATATACTGCATATATTTTATTGTGAATGCCCCATTTCAGCATCTGCACTAAACCAAATTATAGAAAATTGTTACATCTGTTCACTTCCTAAAACCTGGGACAAACAATCCAGTCCACCCTGTGAGCATATTTCCAGTGTAGTTAAAAATATCACTAAATGCCTCAGGAGAAGAACCCTTTAGTTCTGCTGCTCAATTTCCTTTATATTAAAAAGGAGAGAGAGTGGTATTAATGGCAATTATTATTAGGACTGTCAGCCACATCCAGCAACTGAGGGCCCCTGTTGTGCTTGGTGGCCAGCACACGGATAACAAGAGGCAGACCTTGTTCCAGTCAGTTTATAATTAAATGGCCATGTCACATGAAGGGTAAAAGAAAAGAACTACCCACAGTTTAAAGGTGTGGACACTGAGCTGCAAGGTGATGGAGAGGCATTAGAAGGGGTGTGTATCCTACATCAGGTGTAGGAGTTGAGCACAACTGCTCATGAGTCTAAGGCCACTTAGATCAGCTCCTGAGCTGAACGTGTTGCTGAAGAGGTCTGGGAGCTTCCTTGTCATGTGAATACCAGTGCTGTGATTTTTCTGTAGAGAAGTTAAGCATAAAAGAAGTAAGAGCATTGCTGATGCTGATCTCTTTACAAATTTACCCTGAGAGAAGTGGATTTTACTTGTCACAAAAAGTGGACCTGAAATCGTGAACTGCATTCTGTGCTGTTGCTGGGCTAGTTCTTTCCTGGAACTGATTTGCTGTAAATGTGCAGCTACATGGGAGGTGTTTACACATATCTGCTTCAATTTATGCAGAGGCTTTTATCTGCAATCCTCACAGCACAGAAGGGGCTTCATGTGGACCTAGATGGAGCTGTCTTGCCAGTGCACTACAAGGCTTTCGATTTCAAAATTATCCTTGAGATAGAGGCAGTGGAACAACCACCATATATTTCTTTAGCCATCAGACCAGCAGATTCTTGAGAAGCTGGGTGGTCCCTGAGGGGTGCCCATGCCCCCTCCGTGCTACTCCTGTGACCTCCTGAAAACCTAGAGAGCAAGGGAGACGTTTTTGTCTCACTTTCTTGCATCCTCCTGTGTTTATGCCTCCTCAGTCACAGGGGATCCCCACATGAGCGAACACTGATGAGAGCAGGTTGCAGAACACAGGCATGGATTGAAGACCAACTTTCATCACCTTCAGAGCCCTTCACCTTCTGGCATGACTGCAGAGAGCAGCATCTGCCTTCTTTTGTCCCATCGTCCTGATTTGCTGCTCCTGATTTCTGATCACTTGTCACAGTTTCTACGTTCTGACAGATGCTTCCTAACTTGGGTGACTCATGACTGATGAGCAAGGCAAAATAATACATACAAAATAATACATGAAACTGGAGTCAAACCAGTTACACCAGGCAGCTTAAGTAGGTCATCAAGTCCTTTTGCTGCCCTCACAGGCACCATGATATCCCATTTTGTGAATTTTCTAAGTTGTGTTCAGAAAGTGGTTGGATTTTTTAGCCCCCACTACTCCTGTTGGAAAGCTGTTACAGAATCCAATTGCTCTAAATGACTAGAAGCCTTATTCTAATTTCCAGTAAAATGTATTCTTTGAGTGTTTAAGTCACCCTGTTATCTTGCCAAAGTTGGCCTTTAGCTCAGTAGTTTTTCCCCTCCTGGAGATCTGTTCCTCTGATGTATTAGGGACACCACTCCTATCTCCTTTCAGCTTTTGTTTTCCTAGATGCAACAAGCCAAGTTCTTTGTCTCCTCACATAAGGTAAACTTTCTGTTCCTCTTGTCACCACAGTAGCTCTTCTTTTTGCCTGTTGCAGTTTGATTTCAACTCCCCTCCTGTGCAGGGACTGGATTTGTTTCCTGTGTTCCCACTCTAGGCTCACTAAAACCTTCTCTTTATAACCCTGTGCTATACAATCCCCTACACACGTGGTGTTTGTAGTGGACATGTGTATGACACATGTTCTGTTAGGAGAGCAAGGTCCCTAAATCATAGGTTTGTATGACAAAAATGAAGAAGCTGCTGTGGAAGCAGTGGTCACTGCAGTCCCCAGTATCTCTGAAAGATGTGGTGAATTCAGCAGCACTGAATTCTCCTTCTGGAAGTCCAGTACTTCTGTTTTGAAATCCTGCTTTTTGAAACATACATAAAGAAATGTCCTGAATAGTGAGACCTAGAGCCATTTAGATGCCTGCTCTTACTGTTTCACTCTTTATTTAATCCCTAGCTCTCCATACCTCTTTTCTGAATTGTCTGTATAGACCAAAGGAATTCAGATATGGATCTGGAGCAAAGCCTCACTTCACTAAACCCAGCTGCCCTGAGTCTGTGGGGCTCCCACCCTATGTCTTGAGGTGTGTTTGAGTGGTGCTCAGCATAAAGGGCTTTGGTCCTTGCCAGGCACCATGCTGGATTGGAAGGGAAGTGCTGCATTATTCATCAGTCTCCTGCTTCACCCTGCTCGTGTGGGACATGCTTATCCCACAGCGAGGGGAGGAGTTTGCTCCCAGATGGAGTGGTCAACATGGTTTCTTTCTCTGGTTTCTTGTAGAACACGATCTTAAATTATTACAAAGATAAATTCTAGCTGTATTATTCTTCTCTACAGCCTTAATGGTCTGTTTACACATGCTGAAGTAAGTGTGGAATGAAACGAGCAAAGTGAGCCAATCCTACAGAGCCTTGTCCCATGCAAAAATATTCACCTTGTAGAATACCCAGTGACCATTTACAGAACTGTGCCATACGCTGTAGGGTTATTCTGCTGGCCTGTGAAGCCTCTAATTCAATTTTTTAGTCACACATACATAAACAAGGGTTTCTGTTTGGCAGATCCTCATCTGCTGAAGTCTCAGGTGTTACAGGAAATTGCCATACACTCTCTTGCTTCAGTTTTCTTGCTTTGATGTCAATCTGCATGTAAAATAAGGTGAAATCTTAATATCGTGAAGACATGACTACAGTTCTTGGGCTTGACAGCAGGGATAAGCTAGTTAGCTGGTGTCTGTTGCTCATGTTTCATATTTTCCCTAACACACTTGGAATAAAACTCTTAAGAGCATATTCCCCCTTCGATGCACATGCCTAATTCCTTCTAACTTACACTGAAAGTACATGGTAGAATAAACCATCTAGTGCAAACACTGCATACCCCATGCTGATGGCTTATGCAGCTCCTGGTTATTTGCACAAGTTTTTTTTTTTAACCATGTTCCACACAGAGATGATGTGAGGAGAAAGAAAAGCACATGTTCTCCCTTTGATGGTTTTTTTGTTTGACACAAAATGCTCTAGTTGTAGTCACACCGTGGGGATGCCCTCTTTTGGGCAGTGGTTTTGTTTAGGGCTGTGATTTATGGTAGCTGTGAAAGTACCACAGCATCTGTAAGTAAATTTAAATGCACAATTTCAAGATCTTATTACAGGGAGCAAGAATAATCTTTATCTGCTTTTACTGCTAGCAATTGCTAATTCAAACATTGCAGTGCCCCATTTGTTGAGTTATTACTGTACACATAGTGTAATCATACATTGTTGTAAAAGGGGGAACCCTTCATAAAAGCTGTCAACTTCTGAAATATATGCAATATATATTACAATCATGATGTTAAATACATGAAACAAACAGCTGAGTGTCAAAATAATCTATCTTTACAGGGAAACACAGTACAAACTTTGTTAGCCGATACGATCCCAGGTTTAACAGCTGGATACAACTTCCACCCATGCAAGAGAGGTAAAAACCTGCTACGTGTTTTTCAATATATGTTTTATGATCCTAGGAGCAGCTGAAGTTTGGCTTAGTTCTGGGAGTAAGGAGGGCTACAGAAGGATTGAAAATCCTGAGACAAAACTGCAGCGTGCAGTTGTGTCCCGTTTGTCTCCCATGTTTTTAAAACTTCCCAAATTCAATACTCCAGATGCCAAATCCTGCAGTGCTAACTCATGCAAAATAGCCATGGATGGTTGCCTGAGTACAGTCTGAAGGATTTTTCTGAAGTCTCCATAGTGTCCTGTCATGTTCCCTGACTGAAGTGTCACGATGAGTTTGCAGTAAACAAGCAGTAATTACAGTCAGATGTCTTACAGGGAACTGAAACCTTCACGTGTTGACTCCATCCTGTCTCACCATGCCAGCCATGAAAAGCTCTCCTGAACATGTGTCAGAAAACTCTTAATGCCAGGTGGCCTTTGAGTGAAGTTGCTTTCAGCTGATGCAGATTAGAACAGCATGTGTTTTAATCTTACTGTGTACCAAAGGTGCATGTGCATGTGGACTTGAGCAATGACCCAGAAAGGTGGCATAACCTTAACTCTGGATCCCAGATCCTACCCTGGCAGGAAAGCAGCCCCCCAAACCTGAACTGAACGATGCATGTTTCATAAGGAGATCCAGAGTTACTGTGCTTTATGAAATAGCATTCAGTGTCCATCAGGTCAACATCTGTCTTCTCATGGATCCAATGTGCAAGAGGTCTCTCAGAGTCTTCCTAAGACACATCCCTTATTCCCTGAGCTCTCAGTATTACAGCTCTTTTTCTGTTGGCTGTCCACAGTGTTCAGGTGTCTGGCAGTCAGAAATTTATTGAGCTCCATGCAGCCTTGCAGTTTAAGGTGTGTGTTGTGAGATGCATGGAAATGCAGCTGTCTTTTCCCATTTCCAGAGGTAAAATGTCAGACTGTAGGGTTCCTGAAGGGTCTTTGCCCAGGGTTTGGTTTGACTGACCTATGTCCATTTGCAGGCCCATGTGTGATGGATGTCACCAAAAAATGCTGTATTGTGCCAGTGCATGAAAAAGAGCAAGTGAAACAGGCCTGAGTAGGTTCCCTGCTGGAGCTGGGTGGACTGGTAAAATTAGCCATATAAAGAGAAATAAAAAAGAGCATCACAGCTTATTATAGTCTCTGGCTTTATAAAAACATCATCCTTGACTTTAGAAATCCTCCTAAAATTCCTCCTTTGTTTTTAGTTGTTAATGGAGCTAGTCCACCAGCAGGTTTTAGCTGAAGAGGTGGCTGTGCTTTAGCAGCCCCTAGCCTTGTTCCTTATTGCTGCCAGCACTGTGGGATAGCCCCACAACTGGGTTTTTTACCTCAAAACAGAGTTACTCCTTCCCCTCTGCTCCAGCTCCCCGGCCCGAGTCCGGGCTGGCGGCGGTGTCAGAGCAGAGACAGGAGGGGTGTGGGGTGCTGCATCCCTCTGCAGGTCATCCTCAGTGAACCAGGAGGCTGACTGCTGTTTGCAGGGAGCCTGAAGCTCTTCTGTGGAGCTTAACCTGTGTCTTAATTATCCCCTCTGGGCATCTGCAAACAAAACTCTTGAGGGGCATGTTGGGCTGGCTGAAGGGTTGGGTTTCTTGGGCTGACAAAGCTCAGAAGGCAGAAGTAGGTGGCTGAGGGCTGGACAAAGCAGATGGTAGGACAGGCAGTGGCCAGTTGTGTTTCACTAGAAGATAAGTTTATAATAGTAGGTTTGTGCTCTGGTGCTGCCTTCAACCAAGAGTCAGAAACTCTGCTGCACAAGGTGAGTGCCTAGCAGCTGCCCAGTCAGAAACTGTAAGGTGTTAGCATCTCAGCACCTTGCAGTGCTGTTTAAGTGGAATGCTCCACTCAGAGGCAGTTCCTTCTGCAAGGGGCTTTGCTATGACAATGTTATTGGTCACCTCTCCTGTACTCAGAAGCACAGCCCTTATTTTTCTTTAGAGCTTCCTAAGCATTTAGGCTACTGTTGGAAATCTGGGATTTCCAGATCGCTTTCTAAAATGTTCTTAGTGGTTTATTTGCTCTCCCCTAATGACTTCCTCAGAGCTGTTGCAGCCTGTAGGGCTGGGGTCTGGCCCAGTTCTTTTAGAAGAATGTACAAACAGAGAGTTTGTGTTTTCCTCTCCCAGCTCCTTTAGTCAGATAAAGTTCCCATTGAAGTCAACAGGGTATTTCCCCTCCTCCAGGAGTATAGGGTCACACCCTGTCTCTGCTGGCATAATGCAGGCACCACTGACAAGACAGACTGTTTAATGGGTTTTTCTGAGTCATTATGGTCCATCAAGTCAAAACCTACTTAGGAATTTTAGTCTGAGAATAATTGACTGGATAGACTATAATAGCTCCTTTGGAATGACTGCCAGGTAAATGTGGGTCTCATTCACAGGCAGTATAGTCTCAAGTTGAAAATCTGTATGAAATATTTGATGAGTAAACTTTTATCTCATATGCTATCCCTATCTGATTGATTTTACTCTGTGAGCTATAAAGAAAAGTCTAAGCCTGTTACGGATTCAGAGCCATCAGTGTATTTTCTTTAGAGCCAGGTTTGGTTTCTTTGCATTTGAAGAACATCTCAAAAATAAATGCTATTGAAAAGTATGTCCTATTTTTAGGCATGCATTGTTTGGAGAGGCAGGAAATTACTCATAAGCTTTTGAAATACACATCTGCCTACTGATGCAGTAGCAAGGGGATGCTTTTTGGGGAGCAGCTCAGTGAGACTAACATGCCTGCTGGAGGAGAGGTCTTTTTAGCAGATGTATCTGAACACCTCAGTATCAGTACTGTTACATCTGACAGCCCAGCCCAGAGCTGGACAAGGTGTGTGGAGCACAGTAACATTTAAAACAGCTGCTTTTTCCTTACATTTGAAGTTAAAAGCTTTTCTTTAAAGACCAGCAAAAAACCACAGCATTGTACCAGGGCCTGAAGAAGCACATGTGGAAGTGAGCAAGTCAGTGTCCTCGCTGAGGCTGGGTCAAATGAGAAAAGAAGCTGCAGAAAAAGAAGTTAAAAAAATGTCACGTTTCATTTTGGTATTTAGTAATAATTTTAACCCTTAATTAAGATGACTCTAGTTTTGAAAAGCAAAGCATACACTTTAAAAGTGACTGAGATCAGGTCCAGATATTGCAATGACCAGTAATATAGCATTGGTAGGTTTAAACCTCAGACTTGGTAGTTCTGTTTCTTCTTTCAGGGTGTAAATTCCTCTGTGGATATCAGAAAGAAAGTTTTTCCTTTTATATGTGTGTGTGCTTATGAGAAGTTAGTTGGGTTGATTATTGAGTGGAGGGCTGTGAAGAAAAGCATTTCAGAGACCAGTGAACATCAAATACTTGCAGGTCCTGAAGAAAACCATAAAATAATTGTCTCATTGTCCATATTCAGATCCTGAGGTGCATTCCAGTTACCTGATCAGAATGGATGGTGGCGTCCCAATTTTATAGTCAAAGCTGTCTTGGAAAGGTTGCTGGTTTATCTTTTAATCTGCATCATATTCTACAGCAGTTTAAAAAGTCATGCCCCTTACACACTGTATCACTGAAAAGTAAAAACCCAAAAAGCTTAAAATATCTGTGGCAGGAGCTGCTGAGTGAATATTCACATCCAGGCAGAAGAGTGAAGCGTGCTGACGCTTTCATTTTTGCTCCTTACAGTGACACTGTGTGGAGGAAACCAGGAGTACACGTGCAGAAGGAAGTCTAAATCCAGTGAAACCCTAGCCAAGGCAAAACACCTGCCAGTTGTACCTACCTCTGCTTATTACAGCTGAACTAAAAACCCCACGCTGAGAACAGGTCCTTAACAGGTTCATCAGAGGAGGTGTGAAGGGACAGATGAGAGGACCCGTGAGCATCCACAACAGGCACCCTGTGGGTTTGTGCCTTGAGGCTGCTGGACAGAGGAGGGTTGGAGAACCTGTCTAAAAAGATGTGACCTCTGCAGCTTTTCCTGCTTTTGGGGCTGCTGCTGCCTGCCTTGCTTCTGGGCTGTCACATACTCTCAGGAAGCACATAGGCACTTGATTGCCTGTAACACCTCTACCCTCTGTCAAATTAGAGTGAAATCAGCCAGCAGGTTTTTGTTGAGGAGACAATGCTCAGGCAGACATGGGTACACATACAGTGTAATCAAAAAAGCTTTGTTTCCATAGAAAATCAGGCTAAAAACATAGATGCACAATTTGCTGCCCGACCATGCAAAACAATATATGCCATCAGCTTGTGTCTGCCCATTGACAGATAAATTAAATGGTCTTATTTAATTCGTCAGTTGAGCTGGAGGCACTCAGCAGCATTCCTGTCCTCCTGTTTTCATCTTTTGTTTCAGCAGTCTTGTCCCTGTGGTGGCATTCCCATTCCCACTCCACCAGGGATGGTGTCCTGCACTGTCCAAGTTGCCCCAGTGCAGGCAAGGCAAAAGCAAAGTAGACAGGAGGTGCTTGGTGACCCTGGCTGGTGAGGAGACCTGTCAGGAGTATAACAGATCCAAAAAGTAAGGTCAGAAAGAGGCAGCCTTGCATCAGATCTGCTCCCTGAATGCCCAGCCAGCCCTGCTGTTCCCATGGCTGTATCTGCTTGTCTGCCTCACCTCTCCTCCAGCTTATAAGCCACCTCCCAGTCTCAGCCACATTTAACAAAGTGGGAAATTTCTACAAAATGTTAAAGCATACTACAAATTTGGTGAAAATAGGCAACTGGGTAAAGGAGAGAAATCTCCTTGCTGCCCTCACTGAAGGGAGAGCTCCTAAGCACGTGCCTGGCAGGCAAGAGGCACAGCCCACCAGGCTTTGCTAGCCCACCTGCCCAGGGGATGAGTATAGGGGAACCTGGGGAGGAGCTGGGACATACCAGAGCTGTTCGTTCCAAGGAGTTGTGCTCTGCACTGCTCATCCCAGGTGCTTTGCAGCAGTGTGCAGGATCAAGCCCTCGGTGGTGCAGGGGACCCCCAAGCCCCCAGGGTTCAGGAGTGGGAGGTGCACTGCCCCCAGGCCCCAGCAGGAGTGCCTGGGCAGGGAGCAGAGCGGGCAGGCTGGGGCCAGCTGCAGCCCCACTCCAGTGTGCCTGCTTCTCAGGGGCTGGCAGAGCTGCACCTGGCCATGCCCCAGCTGCCTGCTTCCCTCTGGGCTCCCACACTGCTCCAGCTTCACCCAGGAGAAAGTTTTAGGTTTGGGACTGACAGTCCTTGTAGTTCAGTATTTTGTACAGGTTTTCATCCTAGCCTGGCTGTGCTCTTCTCTGAGTTTCTTTCTCGTATCATTGCAGCTTAAAATTAAAGGCCTCTACCCTGGCAAACCTTCCTGCTGCTCAATAACCCAGGGAGCTTTCCCTGGAAGTGGATTACACCAAACAGGGTCTCTCAAAATCATTTGCTGCTCTATTTTTACTTCAGCAACAGACACCATTCATTTTGGAGGCACGAGGAAGATGAACTAACATACACCTAACAGGCCTGGCCAGAAAAATTGTTTTCCTGTGTACCTGAGGTACATGTGGAAGTGGACAGGTGCCTAAAGCTTTCCTCAGAGTTGGTTGGGTGGAGACAGACTTCTTTTGAGTCAAAGGGTGGAAATGTAATACTGTGCCTAGCATAAGGAAAGTTGTTCTATTTGCAGTACTGCAGAAAGAAGAAAAAAAATTATAATTGAAGAAAAATTTTGATGATGTGGTTCTCTTAGTAAATTGGGAACAATGACCCTTGAAGGACCATAAAGAAAGTGAATGTCAAGATAATTCATTATTGTTACATTATCTACCTCATTTTTCACTTTGTCTTACTGAGTTGTTAGATCCCTTACAAGGTAATGCCCCAAACATTAATGAGCACCTTTATATCTTTCATGGCTGTGGAAAGGCAACAAACAGCTTGGGGAAGGCATCTCTTCTGCCAGGCTTCTGCCTTACGTGTGCCTAATTGTTTAGACACCAGAACTAAAGTATTTATTTGATGTGGAGCATGTATTCAGTTGGCAAAGCAGCCACAGTCTCCAGCTGTGAGCACGTGGAGCTCCTGCACACTTCTCTCTGAAGCAGCGTTTGAAGGAGCAGCTCTCTTAGTTCAGGGAGTCAACTGGAGAGGGAAAAAAACAGGTTGAGGTGGCTAATGGCTTTGTTGTGGGCTTGTTTTGTTCCACTGTGCCCTGTCCTGCAGGAGAGCCAGCTTCTATGCCTGTCGGCTGGAGAAGAACCTGTATGTGATCGGGGGCAGGAACGAGGCTGGCTACCTGTCCAGCGTGGAGTGCTACAACCTGGAGACCAACGAGTGGCGCTACGTCTCCTCCCTGCCTCAGCCCCTGGCAGCCCACGCAGGAGCTGTGCACAACGGCAAGATCTACATTTCAGGCCAGTGTCTCTTACAATTCCTGCTCTATAGCACAGAACCAAACCCACCACTACTTAAAAAAACAAAGCCCAGTATCCCAAAGCGTGGAGCTGAATGCCTGCTGCGGCACGAGGACTCTGCTGAGGCCGATTAACAGAAGTGTATTGACTTTGCAGGAGGTGTTCACAATGGAGAATATGTCCCCTGGCTGTACTGCTATGACCCTGTGATGGACGTCTGGGCCCGAAAACAGGACATGAACACAAAGAGAGCCATCCACACTTTGGCTGTGATGAATGACCGACTGTATGCCATTGGAGGAAACCATCTGAAAGGTCACATTTTTAACAGTGAAAAAGCATCTCAGTGTCCCCCATCTCCTGATAAAGGATATTTTTGTTAGACAGTCCTTGTTAAATACATTAAAACCCAGGCAACACAATTTAACAGGATACTTGAGCCAGCAATTTTAAAAACATTTTATGCAAATTATTTTAAAATTATAACAGTACATTAAATATATGAGTAATGAATGCTTTAGATAATAAAAATGGGAGCTTCCATTACTCAAAGGCATGGACAATTTGTCATTACCAAGAATTCAATGAAACAAACAGATTATTCTTTGACCCGAAAGTACCAGCAATATTTTCCTCTGTAAATCATTTTCCAAAATGTGCAGTTAGAGAGAGCTTTATTCAGAGCAGCACAAAAAAACAAGCTCCTGATTTAATGAAAATAAAATAAAAAAAAAAACCTACAGCCATTAAATATTAGGACTAGGCTCTTCAGATCCTTCTTAGAATTAAATGTAGCTTGTTAGTTATAACTCTTTTTAGAGGTCTCTTGTTTTAATTTTTTGAGGAGTTCTCATATTAAAATGACTACAGCTTAGGCATCTGGTATTTTTCTCTTAATAGCTACATGCCACTGCTGTTGCTGCTAAAGAGATTCTGCTTAATCCAGCCACTTAGACAAAAAGCCCAGCTCCTGTTCTTCTGTCCTGTGACAATATTTGGCAGTTTATATTTACATTTTTTCTTATTCTTTCTTGCTTATTTAAAAAAAAAAAAACAAAACCAAAAACACAACCCCTCACAACAACAAAAGAGAAAATTGTAACGCAAAAACAGAAGGTGATGTGAACTGCCAGTAACACCAGGCCACGTGCCTGCATGTCTCCAGCACCCAAATTCTGGGAGACTCTGAACTCACATGCTGCTTTTGAAGACCTGAGTGTCTGTGGAGCATGGAGAGGACATTGTCTCAGATGTGGGACACTTCCGTGGTAACTGGTTCTGGTGCATCAGCCCCTGCAGCCTGGTGCAGGGCTGCTGTGCCTCTGCTCCCCACCCCAGCTGTGATGGGTGCTCCTGGGCTGGACCCCACGGGGGGAAGGGGGGGGTCAAAGCTGCCTGCATGTGTGCACTCCCACATGTTGTAGAGGTTGCAGAGCTCCACAGGGTTGGCTTTTCCTCCTGTGAAAGTAAAAATTAACATATCACAGCTTCTGGAAAGCCATGTGGCAGAAAGGCCTTTTGGAAAACTGGTTTCTTCTGCACAAGAGGCCAAACTGAAAGGGAGGGGAGGAGGGAAGGGACTGTGTGGATGTCAACCCTCCAAATTCTCCACCCCTGGGCAGCACCTGGGCTCTGTGGCACAGCCCTGCTTTGTGGAGGGGGTCTGTAAGCTCCTGTCAGCAGTGAGGTCACCACATCACAGCCAGTCCTGTGTGCACTCCATTTATTTACAGAGCTTTTCACAGATTCTGGGCACACTGTGGTGGCCTTTCTACGGCTCCTTGGAAATGTTAGAGCAACAAAACCTTGTTGCATCATAGCTATTCCTTCCTCACCTAAGTAATGCTCTTGCAAGCAGCATCACTGTGAAGTACTGGTGTCACTAACTGCCCTTTCCCAGAAAATACAGCTTCACTTCTCTGTCATACCTTGGTGGAGAAGACAGTAGTGTCAAGTAAAGCATCCCAGCATATTAAGAAAGCCATAATTTTACTGCAGTGCTCTGATAAAGGTAATTTGAGATAGGTAAATGCCCAAATATTGGAGCAGGAACCAGGACTCCTGGGTTCTGTCTGTGTTCAGCTCACTTAATTGATACTAACTGATAGAGCTGCAGAGTCTTCAGTAGTGTCAAGTAAAGCATCCCAGCATATTAGGAAAGCCATAATTTTACTGCAGTGCTCTGATAAAGGTAGTTTGAGGTAGGGAAATGCCCAAATATTGGAGCAGGAACCAGGACTCCTGGATTCTGTGTCTGTGTTCAGCTCACTTAATTGATACTGATAGAGCTTCAGAGTCTTGAGCTGAGGCCCATCAGCCCTTTGGTGATGGCAAAGCAGCAGTCACATGGAGGCTTTTTCAGGCTCAGTTGCTGCTACCTTAGAAGACTTGGTGACATCCCAGCTGTGTGTGTAGGGCACACCTCCAGTCAGCCTGAAAACTGAAACTGGTCCTGAACATCACCTCTGTCATGCTAAGCACCCTGACCCTCTGGAACCAAGTGGCATCTGAACATCACCTCTGTCATGCTAAGCACCCTGACCCTCTGGAACCAAGTGGTGCCAATTACCTAAGCTCTACCTTGACATGCTAGACATTGATTTCTGAGAGAGATTTCATCCCTTGACTTTTGAGTAGCTAGAGCTGGTGACCTTAGAGAAGGGCTGCCAGGACAGGCTTTTCCTCCATGTTCAAACTTGCATTAGCCCTGAGAGATGGGGAGGAGTACTGCTTGAATCTGATGACATCCTTGACAGGTGATGCTCAGTGTCTCCATGCTCTCCTCCAGGTTTCTCCCATCTGGACGTGATGCTTGTGGAGTGCTACGACCCCAAAGGAGACCAGTGGAACATCCTGCAGACCCCCATCCTGGAGGGCCGCAGCGGCCCTGGCTGCGCCGTGCTGGACGACAGCATTTACCTTGTGGGAGGCTACAGCTGGAGCATGGTGTGTACCTGCCTTCTGCCAGGACCCTCCCCTTCCTTCTTGTGCCTTTAGTCAGATGGGATGGAGAGGGAACAAGGGATGAAGTAGCTGGAGGGGCAGGTTTTGGTTTGGTTTTCAGCTGGTGGAAAACATGGAGGGTTTTTCCCACCTTTGTGCTTTTCTGTTTAGATGAGTTATTATCAAACTGTGTCCATTGATAGGGCTTGCTATAAAAATCAGATTAAATTGGGCAAAAGTGATTGATGGGACTCTGTGCTTACAGCTCTGCTAATAAGACACTTGTAAAGGAGGCTGATTTGCAGAGGGTGGGTGCCCAGCCCATGAGAAAACCAAACCTCTCATAGGCTCCTAAATTAGTACTCCAAACCATGAGTCACTTTCAGACATCTTCAGAGCTGATGTACGACTTGAATTTTACCCAAGCTACCTTTAATACAACTTTTTGTTCTACTGCAGGGAGCCTACAAATCTTCTACTATTTGCTATAGTCCTGAGAAAGGGACTTGGACAGAACTGGAAGGAGATGTTGCTGAGCCACTTGCAGGACCTGCCTGTTCCACTGTGATACTGCCAGCCTGCGTCCCCTACAACAAGTGATAGTCCAGCAGCACTGATGGACACTGCTTGCATTGGGGAAAATAATGACGGGTGACATAAATATTTTATTAGAACAGGATTCCTGGTAAAGCTACCATAATTGACCCCTCATTCCATATTTATGCTTTAGGAGCAAACTAAAAGCAAACCAAACCCAAGTGCTGTCCCATCTCAGATAGGTGCCGGTGTCTGATGAAGCAGGTAGCTAAAGCACACCGACCACGCCACGCTGACAGACTGCCATTCCAGACTGATGTTAACTTCTTCCTGCTGCAGAGGTATTCCTCACCTCAAAGTTAACTTTAAAAAAAAGAAAAAAAATGAAGGCTAACTGTTCAAAGACAGCCTGAAGAGACAAGATCAGTATTGTGCATTGTATCTACCTGCATGTGATCTGTGTTGAAGTCACGAGGATGTTGTTTTCATGAATGCTTCAGAATTCAGATAGTGAAAAGCTCACACTGCATTGCAGAATTGTCTCCTCCTCTGTAATCCTAAACTACAGCTACTCCACATGCTCTGCAAGCAACACGGCATCAGAAGATTACAAAAGGTAAAGAAATACCACTCAATTTGTGCACAGCTTGGCATCTAATACACTCTTGCCTTCAGAGTCCCCACGTGTAAGTGCAGCAGAGAGCAGACTACAATGAAGGCCATGCTTTACAGAGCACTTCTTGCAGTAGCAGCTTAGGGATTAGGATCAAATTCTTCTAATCACACTTGTGTAAAGTCAGAGTCATTCCACTGAAATCACATGGAATGACTGTTTTTACATTAGTATAACATAAAGTGGGTCCTACATCTTAAATTCTGGGTTTGTGAAGTAAGCTATTTCTATGACCACTTAAAGAAGCACCCAGAATCCTTACTTACTTTTCACTAACCTGCTAGATAGCAGCACCCATGCTAGTTGCTTCCAAAGACAAGAAGACTGCATTTAACTATAAATGTATTACTTTGGACTCTTAAATGATTATGCAGAATTTTGGAGAGACGCTGGTAAGTAGCTAAAATACTCTTGTGTGATTGATCTTAAAATGTACTCTAAAAGATTTTTAATATTGATCCAAAGTAATTAGGAGGCTGGAATTTCCCCTGCCTTACAGCCTGTGCAATGATTTACACATTGCCAAGCAAGCTCAGAATGCTACCACGTGGGACTCCCTTCATCAACTCACTAGTTGCTTGCACACATCAGGCTATGTTTTAAGTTTGTGTCTTTCTGGCCTGGCTTTGTAAAAGCAGTGACAAAACCCAAGCCTGATTCTTCACCACCTTGCAGTTAACATAATCATCTATACCTCAGTAAAGTGTATGGATAGTTCTTCCATTGTGTTTACTGGTGCTGCATCCATTGCCCTCAGGACCATCCTCTTCACTGCTTTAAACTGGCTTCGCTCCATTGAAGCCAACGGGTGTACTTTGGTTTATGCCAGCTCAGAACCTGGCCTGGAATTTGCCTCGTTGTACCTGGCTGCACCAGGGCAAAGGCACAGGAGACTCAGATCCTGCATTTTCAAGCCTGCATGTATCTTTCACAACAGGACTTAGTGCATTAAGCAAGGGCAGGCAGCTACTGGAGGTTGGTTTCTGCTGCAGAGGCAGTAGATGTGCTAAAAAAATAAAAGAAAGATGTAGAAAGAATTCATTATTTGCCTTGCAAAATAGAAAGAGGGTGAATGTACACATAAATTACACTATGTAGTGATGCTGGAGAGCAATATAAGTAATGGAGAACAAATTCCATGGGACTGTTTCTCTCTGGCATCAGTCCTGTTTTATTGCAGTGCAACTGCTTTGCTTGCAGCAGAATTACACAGTTGTAAAATTGGAGTAATGCAGTGAAGGCTGATACCACACAAATGCAATAACCCCATTATTGAGGTAGCTGCACGCCTGGAAAAAAATGGTTTAAATAAAATAATTACCTGAAGATGCTAATATTTGAATGTGCTGTAGGGGAGTCTTCCAGTGAGCATCACTAAGGAACTCATAAAGGTGGAGTGTATATCCTGAAATCTCAATCCATTTCTACTATCTAGTGCAATCTTAGTTGGTTTTGTATTTATTTATATTGTTCAGATCCAAGGGATCCCTTGTAAAATATATTTGGTGCAATCATGACTTTTTTTTTTTTCCTTTCCTGTTGAAAGTATATAAATATAAATATATATAAAAAGGAAACTGTTAAGATACTAAAGGAGGAAACCTTGAATGACATTTAAGATCAGGATAAGGTCTGCCATTAAACACTGACTGTCACCTGTCTCTACTAAGATGTGCCATTTTTAAAGGATATTTGTTGTCCTTTTAAGTGGTTCTTTTTTTTACCTAGATAATTTAAAGATTTATGAGGACTGTATGTAAATCTTTCTGTCTTTCAGGAAGGCATGACCAAGGAAAGTGCTAACTGAATAAGTCACACAAAGAATGTAAATTTTGTACAATACTAGACTGTGTAAATGAAGCTTGCTTGTAGGGGGGAAACTTTAAATAAAACTTTATGTACTAATTCAACTGTCTGCATATTCCTACTTATAAAGTGTATGTATAAATACTATCTACATTAAATCCTTTGGAACTTTTTTTATCATGTAGATGTGTAAACTTCCTTTATTTTGTACATAACATCCTGGTTGTTCTCCAAGTGTCACTGCTCAGTGCTTGGAAAAGCAGCAAAGCAGGAGAGTGTCTCGAGCCAGAGGTGAAGTACTTGAGAAGTTGGAGCAGGAGGTACTGCCAGGCTGAGGAGACAAGGTAAAGCAGAGGTTCTACCAGGAAGCAGAATCATTATCCATAGCAGTTGCTACACCACGTGTTATTTATTCATGCCTAAGAGCCTTTGCCAGGGACCAGAACCTTCCTGTGCAAACCAGGTGGGTGCCCCGGGCAGATGGAGAGGCAGTCCCTGCCCTCCGTGCTCCCAGCAAGGGGGAGCTGTGCTGGGGGCTGCCTCTGGTCTAGCAAGGGGGCATGAGTCCTGTGCAGATCTCTCATGAGGAAGGGGGAGGTGAGCCAGCAGCAGCTACAGCGAGACAGCACAGTCAGTAGCACTGTTTAATTAGTGGGTGTAGTTCAGAAGAGAAAGCAAGGGAGACTTTTGCAATTTCTTTTAAAGTAATGCAGGGTTAGAAGGAAGAGAAGCTGGAAGCAGTGGGCAGAGATACGATTTAGAAAGGAAGGGAATGTAGCAAGGAAGAAGAGGTAAGAATGAAAGGGAAAAACAGAAAACATGAGCCTGTGAGAGGAGAAAGTGGGAAGTACTTGTGGATCAGTGGTACAGACTAAGGGCTGGGATAATGAGCAGAAGGATCAAATCAGCAGGGTACTTGGGTGCTGCAGTGTTCCAGCTTTCAATGTGCAAGCTTCAGCACAACAAAGATCCTGAGAGAGATGCCCAGCAGCACCTGGTGGGGTTCCTGGGCTGCAGCAAGCACCCAACTGCAGCCAGACCTGTGGGAGGGAGGAGAGCTGCTGCTGGAGGTGAGACGCAGCGGAAGAGCAGATGTGGTGCAAGCCCCATACCCACTGGCTGGAGGGAAGTTTCCTCCATTTCTGACTCACAGATGAGAGTCATCTTTTGGAGATGGACACCTGGACTGGTCCTCCATTGGCCTTCTCTGCTGCCCTTCCTGCCAAATATTAATCTTCTTCTTTTTGTCTTCAGCATGACGAACTTGCCTGGGTGCTTTTGTGGAGCTGGAAAACAGCAGATGAGTGAATGGAGCTATCACCCTGGTCCTGAGCTGTGGTGCCATCTGCTTCCTGAGAAGGCCGGGTTGCTGCTGACTTGCAGCCCACACACATGCCCTTAAGGAGGTAAAAGATGGTGTTACAGAAATATGCTTTCCATTGATTATAGCACTGCCTTCAAGAGCACTGGGCAGCCACCTCCCAAAAGCTGGCATTGCCTTCCTTCACCTGCTTGTCTCCCTTCCTGCTTTTTATACCATGATTTACTCTGCTAGCTGCATCTGTGAGCCAATTTCTGAGAAAAATCCATGCCAAAGCTCATTATATATGCTAGTTTGTATTGTATTATAATCACTCCCCAACAGAGTGCTTTAGTTCTGCTTTTAAAGGACAGACCGTGTTTCAATTTAAATGGAGCTTTCAGGGTACAGACAAAGGAGACAGAAATCCCAGGCAGTGCTACAGAGGCCAAGACAGTAACTGCCAACTCCTGAGCAGTTGAAAATCCACATTCCCATTTCTGCTGGTGGTGTGGCAGTGGCTGGGTCGGTGTTTCAGCCTCTCAGGTCCAGCTCAAGGCAGCAGCGAGAGCGGCGCCCGAGGTCAGAGTGGGGAGTGGGAAGGGAAAGTACACTAATGAATTCTGGAGGGCTGGTAATGCCAGAAAAGATTCAGTTAATCTGCAGCATAGATGTTGATCAGCGACACTGAACCTGACTCTCTGGACCTTGTCAGATGTATTCTGTGCGTGTCAGTGTTCCACACCAATTACAGATTTTAGAAGATGCTCTCATGCAAAACTATGTGCCCTAATATATAAGCCAGCTCAGATGTAACTAAAATTAAAATCTGACTGTGGCAAATCTCTGTGATCCTGATATATGAAAATCCAAATAAATGATTTGTTCCCAGAAATTGGAAATTTCAAAATTACTTATGCAGGATTAATCCAGCTCAATGAATGCATCTTGCGTTGATTAATAAAGCAATCCTGAATTGCAAAGTAAAACGAGAGGAGACTTCTGGTGCTGATATATTGGTGTGTTTCTGAAGCTAGAGAGAAAGGCACTTTTGCAAGAGATGTGGTCAACCAGTGTAAACAGAGATTGAATACAAATAGTGATTTTCTAATTGTCTGTTTTCTCCCTGCAGCAGCAAACTACCTTTGTGGCATTGATCCTTCCTTGAAGTACAGGGGTACTGTGTTACCTGCCACGATCCTGGATGGGAACAGGGCATCTGACAGGGTGGTACAGTGACTCCAATTAGCATCCGGGTGACATCTGCACTCTTACCTAGCAAGAAAAGCAAAACTTGAGCTCATTTCTGCTGATTTTCTTGCCACACAGAGTAGAAATTTTGATCAGGTAGCATTAGCTTTTGTGATCTGCTGCCCTTGAATTTAATTGGGCTTAGATGTGAACAGATATAGGGAAGCTATTCTAGAGATTTAAACAAATGTAGCAAACAAAAAAAAAACCCCAAATTTGTCTTCAGCCTCTACACACACACACACACACACAAGTCAATTGAATTTATTTAAAGTGGTCTCATTACTTAATCTAAAAACCCAGTTCTTTAGTTTGGAGAAATACCTTCAATCATTGCAGTGTTTTCAAGAATATTTATTAATGAATGAGATATTTTGCAAAATACCTTTAAAGTCCTTATGATTCCTCATATCCCCCTTAAGCATCTTCCAGAAAGACACCCTGGAAGGATCATATCTGTAAAGCTTGAGTAGGACCTTGTGTGGTATTTGGTTCCTGAGTCTTTGCAAACTCTTTTCCATTTTTGTTTGCATTTCTGCAAAACAATTCAGTTCTCAAAACTCTTTGGCTGATCAAGAATATTTTCTACCAGTGGAGTAAGTGAACTTTATACATATTTTACTATGAATAGTGAATATCAAGGCTGATGATTCATTGCATAAAAATCAACAGAAAAATTGTTCCCTCTGTGTGTAGGGGTGTAAGTACACATGTGAATTTGCACCTGAAAAATGTCAAGAGAATGGGCCACAGCAAGCACTGCTGTGCCACTGGTTTTGCTAAAACTGGAAACTCAGTAGCAGTGCTGAATGAAACTTGGATGTTTTTCTTTAAAAACCACCTCTTTCACTGCAAAGATGCCATTAGTCACAGCAGGGAGCATAACCAGAAGGAGGATGTCTGTAACTGTAGCAAGAGAGCACATTAAACTGGAGGTCAAACTCACGACTGACTGATTATCTCCAGGGTGAGAGTAAATCTTGGGGACTGCCGGGGTGGTAGGAG